AATCTTTTAATTTTCAATATGTCTATTTTCAATGACAACACATATGATCAATGTTACCACATTTATACAATTATAGTAAGATTTATTACTTTTGGACGATGTGTGACATTCATGTTGACATTGTAAAAAGCCTATAAAAGAAACATTTCTTTATAGAATCAATTAATTTTCATATCTAAATAAAGTTTTGATTTTGCACATTTTGTATTAAACGTTGTTTGGTGCCAAATAAGAAAAATGAATTCTTAAAATGTAAGTCATTTCTGGGGTGTAGCATTTAAACGTGACGTTTTTGCCGTCAAATTCAATTGTGACATATAGCTACAAGTAGTACATATATGTAACACGGCAATTGTTATTAAAATTTAAGGCACCGGAAGTTAAAATTCTGTCTAGATATCTTTTCCTTAATAACATGGCAACATTTTGTAGAATTAAAAATAATTTTCAACATCAATTTTTCATCCAGCAATACAAACTTTGCCATTTTACGAATCTTAAAAACTTTGCGACACAGAACCTCCAAACTTTGTGACACACCATCTTAGTCAATGTCCCCACAATAAATCGGCTTAATATCAGAAACCCAACATACATATCGACACAAAATATCAGTCTAATTTAAAATATAGTTCCTTCCACACAAAAAGGATCATTGACATGCCATTTCAAAATTGATTTTGCTCATGAAATTATTTTTTTAAGTTACCAATGACATTTCATGTTCCTTAAAAATTTCTTCAGATAACGCTTATCTACATCGCTGTCTTGCATTTTGAACAATGCGTTCACAGCATTCGGATTGAACAAAATCACAATTGTAAAACTTAACATCAGTTACATCATATTTTGAACTTTTCTGCTAAATTTTATGTTTGTTTTTTGGAAATTATCAACATTTTGTTATTGCATGTGCGACTCTCCTGTTACTTGTCTACATGCGTTTTTGACGTAATTAATTGAATAGTCGGCGTAATACATTTGATAATTGGAATTTTTTGATCAATATTTTTGTTAAAATGCATTTGGTATACAATTACCGACCGAATGGTATATAGTTTTCATATATTGAATTGTTTTAAAATCATGGAAATTGCGCATATGCCGCCGTAATAGTAATTTTTGACTTTTTGACACCAACACCGTGCGCGACGTCATTAAGTTTTTCAAGAGGTTTTTCTCAATAGGCAAGCTTTTATCAAACAAGTTGAAGAAATAAGAAAATCATCCGTATCCTCAACTTTAAATTCTACGCACAATAACCTTGTCAGCAAACACAATCTATCATTAGATCAAATGCTGTAAAGAGTTTTTCATTCTAATTGTTCAACCATTATTTACGTAACTTACATTGTCTTCAGTGTATACCGGTATACCAAGTTTGTGGAAAATCTACCGTCCAGGCATTTTTGATGGACCGTATCAAAATAAAGGTACCTTAACTATATGATTATATTATATAGGAAAGTGCAAATTTTTTCGTACTTTAAGGCAAATTAAACAAATACTACAATAGGCTTTATGCTAAAATTATAATGTATGATGAGTAATACTATATTGTACATTTTATGTAATAAACACAAAAGTCTACCGTCTTGTTCCCAGAAGGGGCATCTCAAAATGAAAAAGATTAGCGAATTTTCTACTCTTATAGAGTACAACAAAATATGACGGATACAAAGGATTTATACATAATAATTATAATAATGATGATTCTCAAATTTCTGTTTTAAAATTTCAAGAGCGTACATTTTTTACTTTTTCTTTTATAACATTTTATTGCCCTTTCTTTAAGAGCTTCACGTTATCATAGCGTCAAAAACACAAAATTGCGACGTCAATATACTTATCAGTTTAAAAATCGTTTTAAAAATCAGTTATATAAAATTTTAATTAAATTCTTCAACCTATAATTTCTTAATTTTGTTAAATTTTATTAATTTTATTAATTAAGTGAAAAAGAATTGCTTCAAAACTGTAAATACGCTTCAATTTACTATGATGCGCGAAATATTGCGCAATGGAAACCCCCAGTTGGCCCCCTTAAATGGACTTTTGTGATTGATTACTGATTCGTATTTATATATTTCATCCCAGTGCCTTTTGGAGAAAAGGTTAAAGATCAATGCCCAAAGTTCATACAACCCAAACATAGTTTCTATAAAGCACCTGATAACGTAAGTTTTTCTTGAGTGTTTTTGTGAAAATTGATGCTCTTCCCCAATGACTTACAGAAGAACCCTTTTGAATTTTAGATGAAAAGATAAAGTTAATAATTTTTACCTATTGTGTTTTTTTTAAAATTCTATTTTCCTATATGTAATAAGATTTAAAAGGACGCTTATTGATTCTAAAGCTAAATTGTGAAAGTAAAAAAAAAATAAAGTTAGAATTTATATGTTGCATGATATGGAGATAAAGAACAGTATTCAAGCTCTGAAGTCCATTAAACAATACAAAATTGGAGCAGAGCAAACACGAACCTCCAAAAATCAGGTGCCGATCGGTCACACCCGCCGTGTGCTCCTTGTCATGATCGGGAAAATCTGTCAACAATGGCCTAATATATAATGGCCTAACAATTAGTATGAGAAATGTCAACCAGCATTTGTCTTAATGGTACATTGAATTTGCTGACAAGGCATTCTGTCGACCATTGAGCTAACGAAATTCAGCAATTCACTTTAAACGAGACAGGCGATATTCTTGTCTCAGCAATTTGTCTGTCAAGTTTACCTCATTTTAGAAATTGCCCATACGTTAAGCATGCTCTTGCTTATCGAATGAACTGAGAGTTATAAACCTCGTATGCAGGTGATGAAGGTATACTGCTGCATCAGTAAGGGAAGTATGTACTTGGTTAAAGCAAAGTCATCACGTTTATCATAAATGGTGGTTATATAACCATTAACGTTTTTTTTCAAGTAAAATATATAGATATGAAACAGATATGTCAGACTCTGTGGTATCTTTTATTTTTTTTATTTCAAGCTCACCGGGATATATCTTATCGACATCAGGATGAAAATAAGCATTATCATAATATAATTAACAATACATGTACATCGTCAATCTAAATGTTGAGTTGAAGGCCACAGTATGTGTTTTCTTCTTTTTACTTTTTGGATTATGGACAAATTCAGCTTTCTACGAATACAATAATAGGTCTGCTCATAACGGGGCACAATTGGTACCCATAGGTATTCCAATAAATTGTTGGAAGATCTGGTCTTCAAAAACCACACAGATATTGTCAATCAGACACTCAAGCATCTTTTTAATTTCAACTTCAAAGTACTTGTATGTACAATCAGAATGTTTGAACAACATAATTTTGCAAATGACCAATAACAAGGTAAAGAAATTTACGAGTCCCATTTTTTTAATTGAAAAATTCGCGGGGAATGGTGCATTTTTTAGATGAATACAAATTCCTTATATGTTTGCAATGTAACTCGGATCATGGATTTTTCTACCTTAAAAAAAGGTCCCTTTTCATTCTAAGGTCAAGGTAAATGTTGATATTATTTTTACGATCTATATCGCTTATTTTTCTAAACTTCTTCGACCCTCTTTTTTTTCCTAAAGTAAAAGATACAAATTCTCTGAATTATTTCGTTTTATTAAAGTTCTATATACTAGTTATTCATTTTAATGCTAGTAATTCTATTACCTGTAAGGTGTAATTTATTTGAACCTATATGTTTAAGCATTTCAAAATAGTTTAAACTTACACCTACTTAAAAATATGAATTCACATTTCGTAAATTCATCTTTACTAATATTTAATTGAGGATGTGTACAATTATTTCATTGCTGATAATACTGGATATATATTAATTTTTTAATATATTGATTTATAGTTCCATAATTCGTAATACCGTTTGATCCTGATCAAAGGCAAGTCACAGAAGACATGGACTCTTTTCTCAAGCTGATAAATGATCAATTTGATGTAAAAAAGCAGAATTTTTTTTCAGAATACCTAGCTGCACGTGTAACGATCACAGAAACTGTTTTAAATCCCAGGTGGAAATGAAAAAAATGTTAGCTAACATTGCAGTTTTAATTTAGAAAGTCACAGAAAATTACTGTAAACGTATTACAGTTGGCTGTGCTTTCTTTTTAGCGCTTTTGGTGGAAAGAACTTCCGCAAAATCAAGTACAACGCTAAATGTCATGCACATATATTCATAGATAAGAACATTGATAAACGCGCTAAATCAAATCTACGCTAACTCGTTCAAAAATCAATTTCCGCCGAATATCGTACACGCTAAATATAATACATTTACAGTATGATATTTCATCAATTGCATGTTCCTTGAAACATATTCGTTGTGATTTTTTTTTTAAATCTTTACAATAATACAAAAACATTTAAGAAGAAACATTAACATAGCAATGTACCCGTTCTGCATTGGAGATGGAAAATGTTGCATGTGTGTTTAATGCCCCCTATTAGTGATATTTTATAGTAACGCTCATCATATTCTCTTAGCATCAATAAACAGACTGATACAATTTATAAATGGCTCTTTTACTCTAAACATATATATTCTAATTGATATATTGTGCAACTACGCGGCATTTGAAGGAACTCTAAAAGATATCAAATTGACAAAAAGAGAAATGAATAAATATTTTCTTTTTCAACACCGAAAGCAATTATATAAACAACAACGGAAACAAAAATGTTGATTTTTATCCAGATGTGTTGTCGCCATTGTACTGAGTGGATCAATTAGAGCTAGCTCGTCATGTTTGTTATGTTCATATTAGATATTTTCTGGAGCTTAAATGATTTGTTTTATCTTGAGGATGTTGTGTTTTTTTTATTCTTATTAGAAATGTACTATATAGATCTATGAATAAATCATTTTTGTGTTTTATCAATAAATATATATAGATATATTACAGAAATTATAAAAAGTGAGAATGTTAGTTCGATAACATATAATGTGTAATACAATCATACATTGAACGTTTGAATGGAAAAAAAAAAAACAAACAACACATTAAATAAAAACCGAATGCAATAGCCCCTTTAGCCCTTTGGTCTACAGTGCGAGTTTTGTATTTGACAGTAACATTTGTTCGTCTTTTCATGAAATTTACTGATTGATTCATAAGCAGCATTGATTTCCAATGTTCCCTGTGGGTTTCCTCTTGCGTTCATTAAATGGGTGGTCGTGATATATAGTACGGGCATAGTATGATAGGAATCAATCAGAAAAGGCATCTCTTGTATGATGGAGCTAACAGTGCATTATTTCAGTCATCACCATGTTTGAAGTTAAGGCAAAGTTAACGTTAGATGCCTGTCTTTGATAATTGATGCTCTAACCTATTATGATGGATGGATATAATTTCAATTTGAATTTTACAATATATGACATTATTTTGAGTAACATATCGAATTTGACGAATGTGGATATCATTGAACAAGGAAGACCACATCAAGTATCCACTGGACTTCTGGTCCTTCTGGCTTTTCTTTATGGATCAATCTCTTTAGTAGCAGTACTAGGAAATGCTATGGTTATATTTGTGATTCTTAGAAACAAGAAAATGCAGTCCATAACCAACATTTTTATTGCCAATCTTGCATTTGCTGATGTCATCATTGGAGTATTTTCTATACCGTTTCAGTTCCAAGCTGCTTTACTTCAGCGCTGGGTCGTTCCTTATTTCTTGTGTCCTTTGGCGCCATTTATTAAAAACCTGTCCGTGTGCGTGTCTGTTTTCACATTGACAATTATTTCCATAGACAGATACATAGCTGTCATGCATCCTCTTAAAGCAGGCATACAAATGAAAGTAGCTGTATGGATTCTTGTAAACATTTGGTTGTTCGGTATATTCTCAAGTTTGCCTAACTTGATTTTCTTCAAAGTTATTCTCATTCCTGATGAGCCATTCTTTCACCAAATGAAACCATTTTGTTCACACGCCTACCCCTCCGAATTGTTTAGGAGCCTTCACATATATTTTCTTTTTATCGTCCAGTACGCGCTGCCTCTCGTGGTTATTAACATCACATACTTCCGTATTGTGTATAGAGTATGGGGTACGAAAACTCCGGGACAAGCTTTGGACAGACAGGAAATAATCAGAACAAGGAATCGTAAAAAGGTAGAAGTTTTCCTTATCTTCTTAGAACATATAAAGCAGTTACATCAATTGATACATTAAAGAATTCAAGTTTGGGTTGGTATAAAATGATATCAAAGATGACAAATCTAAATCCCCGTAGGTGCTGATATCGCTAATCGAGGAGTAACCTGTTATATATAAAAGAATTCTAAAGATTTTTTTAATACAGGAAGAAGCACGTTATACATTTTTGTGATGGACAAGGTATATTAGTATTCCCCTTCAAAGGAAGAAATTCTTTAAAAGCATATGTCAGTTTTGAATATTTTAATATCCCAAAGAACCAAAATGTATTTGAACTACAGTATATATATTGGATTCCTGAACTTCATAAGAATCCTTACAAAGATAAATAGCGGACTGCAGTAAATGTTCAATCAAGCCTCTTTCTTTACTCTTCACTAAAATATTAACAGTAGTGAAAGAGAAACTTCAAAAGTACTGTGCAACAATATATTACTAAGTAGTAAATCAGATATATTTGTAGTTATAACTTTGCGAAATTTGCATTTAAACTTTCAAAACAGACATTTTTCTTTACTAATGGTGAAAACATATAATCTATAAGTTTATTAATTACAATAAATGGTGAAAACTTTGGAACTTTGATTTTCTGACTATCTCAAAAACTTTGGAACTTTTTACTGATTTACTCATAGTAAAAACTTTTTTAACTTTGATTTACTTTTGTGATGGTGAAAACTTTGGAGATTTGATTTACTATATGGTTTAAAAAAGAAAACTGCTTCTTTAATTCTCTCTGTAGTAAAAACTTTGGAAATTTGATTTACTATGGTGAAAACTTTCCGACACGAACTTTGATTTACTATTGTAAAAACTTGTGTTCGAACTTTGATTTACTCTCTAAAAAAACTTTGGAACTTTGATTTACTATAGTGAAAACTTTGGAACTTTCATTTACTATGGTGAAAACTTTGGAACTTTCATTTACTATAGTTAACTATAGTTTACTCTAGTTTACTATAGTATTTTTTTATTAGGGCAGTAAATGTTCAATCAAGCCTCTTTCTTTACTCCTCACTTAGATATTAACATTAATGAAGGAGAAACTTAAAAAATACTGTACAACATTATATTCAAGAAGTGCTGTAAATCAGATGTGGATACTTAAAATTTCCACGGAACTTTAGCACAATTTGAAATCACAAGATTTTACCATCAACAGCTTAAAAATTTACAACTTTTCAACGTTATACACAACCATTCCCAACGATAAGTTAAAGTCCAGGCTTTTCAATATCGTTGACTGCTGCTTTTTCAAAAACTGGAACTCGTAAATTTACTCACCTTGTCATCGGTCATTTGAAAAATTATTTTGTTAAAAACATTCTGATTGTACACACAAGTACTCTGAAGTCGACATCAAAAAGATGCTTGAGTTTCTAACTGACAATATCTATGTTGTTTTTGAGACCAGGTCTTCCAACAATCTATTGGAATTCCCATGGTTAAAACTGCGCCCCGTTATAAGCAGACCTATTTTTGTATTCATATGAAGCAGAATTTGTGCAAAATCTTCTGCGTGAAAAGATGAAAACACTTGTTGTGGCCTTCAACTCGTCATTTAGATACACTGTATATCGATGACGTATTGTCAATTAACATGGGTTTTTTTTTTTGCTTGCCAACTTTTTTCAGGTAAGTTAAAAAAAATTTCTTGCTGCCCCCTTTCAAAAACGATGCTAGTCACTGTTAACATTCTTTTATTTGTGTAGAAAATCAATTTCCTTCTTTTATTCGATTTTGCTCGTTTGTCTCTTGATCGGTGCAAATTCTACTCTCTTTCATTTAGAGTAGAGTCAATTGTGATAATAAGTACACAGCTTACACACTTGTTGACTGACAGTAATCTGAAAGAGGAGTCACGTGACCTCGTCTTACTGCCAAAATTTGATTAATCACAACAATGATTTAATTTCAATACTTGACGAGACCCGATCTCGCGGGATACAGATTTCATTTTTCCTGTAGATGGGAAGCTGGCTGTTTATAGGTATCAACACTGAAGAAAACAATGCGTCTGCTACAAGTAATGAAAGAAATTCAAAGAATCGATCTACTTTCAATAATTTAAGATTACTTTTTCATAAGGTCTAAAATAGAGGGTCTGAGGAAACAAATATTGAAGTTGATATCATGGATGAACTTGTTATTTATTTTTTTAAAAATCATTTTTGGTTCATAGCGCTCTGTTTACCACACACACAAATAAGAAAAAAACAAAATTATATCGCCATGAAAAAATAATTTCACAGTAAATGATAATGTTAACGCTGCTCTGGGAGCTGAACAATGAAATGAGCACCACATTAAATTTACAATATATTTAATGTATATGGTTAATTTTGGGTTGCATGGTGCTGAATTTACAAAAAAAAATCTTAAACGAGGAAAGCTATTGACAAACAACTTAATGAAACAAAAAAAATCAAAATTTTCGTTAAAATTCATCAGACCACATGTTCAATTACATTTTCAGCAAATACAATTTATCATTAATTTAAATAGAATGCCAACTGTCTGCTTTTCATCATTTTTTACACTGAATCACGGAATTTAAATTCCCCTTTTCCTAATGATTATAAATGGCGGTTTTGACTGGTCGGCAGGGAATGCTCACTCCTCCATGGAACCTTATCACATGTTTGGGAGGCCCGTATTTGCTCTGCTCCTAACTTGTTTTTATTTATATGGACGTCTAAGCTTCAAACTGTTTGTTATCTCCATATGTCGTCAATGCAATGAATTTTTTTTCTAACCCTTGTTCTGAACGCAAGATCCAGGGAGGCCGAAAGGGGGGGTTGAATTTACAATTTTGAAGAAGGATTATATGCACTTATCTTTATCTTTTTTTTTTCATTTTTCCAATTAAATGGCCTTTAGAAAACCATCATATTTTTACTGTTTTATTTTAAATATATATCAGTCAACTTAGACCTACATGTACATTGGGAGGGGGTAAGTACAAAACGTGGCTAAAGGTTGAAGAGTTTAATGTAAAAATAAAAATAGCTTATCCGATGATTGTCAATTATGAAAGAAAAACTTTAATAATTTTTTTACAACAACTAAGCAGTTAAATAAAAGAAGATTATATAAATAATAAGCCTAGGGAGATGGACACTCTGAAGTTTTTATTTTTTAAAAGTTTTTATAAAAATAATACAAGAGAGTGCACAGAATATATGATTAACGTGATTAATCCAGCATAAAACAAGTAAAATTAGTGAAATATGTTTCAAACATATGTAATCATACAGCTTAAATTCTAAGTGTTCAACAAATGTGATATAATATCATGTTATATATGCTAAATATGATGAATTCAATTTTATAAAACATCGTTTTTAAATATAGATAATAACAGGTTTCTGCTGAAAGAAAGACACTTTTCTTTGTTATTGACTTTTATCATGTGTTTGTGTGTATAGAAGAAAAGTTTGAAATAGTTCTACACACCTATACAACCACGACATCTGGTAAATGGGAAACTGCTTTCAAAAACAAATTCTAACTAATTTTAAAAATCGCTTTGTTACTTATCAAATTTCGAATGTTTAATGGACCTTTGAGCTCGAATACTGTTCGTTATCTCCACACATTTCATTTTGACTGATTTTGAACCAAAAAAACACCCACATTTATGAATTCTAAAAAATAACTACAACATTCTGCTCATTCCTATACTTGACGAACCAGTCTCCCTGTCCCAGCTGATTTGTGTTAAGTCGAGAAGAAACGAAGAACCAGATTATACGTTGTTAATACCGCCACACTTTCTGGTGTGAGTATAATGGCGAAATAATCCCCTGGCTTCATTATGTTTCAAATACCTAATTTCCTTTCGAACATGCACTTCAGAACAAGTCCTGAAAACAAGCCCAGAAATGAATCTGTTGATTAGCATGCGTCATCCACAAATTTGACACTGAAATTTTACAGACAAAATAAGATTCTTGAATTGAATATATTCTGTATTCGTTGCCTTTTTGTTATTCATCTGATTTGAATATTCATAAAAGATCTTTATAATTACTCATATCATCAGTTCGTAAACTGTACAGGCTGTGTGAAGAATTTCTCCATTTCTTCTTTACTTTTAATTGATTTCGACATTTTAAACTTCAGAATAATATTGACAGTAATTAGTTTTTATTTTAACAGAAAAAACACTGAAAAATTTTTTTTTTCCCTCTACACTAATACAAAATTATTGAGATTCTGATTACCGGGTATTTGAGATTTCATACTAGTGAAATTTAGATCAATAAACTTCATTTTGTGATAGAGAAGTGAAATTGTAATGTGTGTACTAACTTAAAATGTGGATAAAAGATTATGAATATAGAGATAACGAACAGTATCCAATATCAAAGTCCATAAAACAATTCAAAATAGGAGCAGAGCAAACACAGACCTCCAAAACATCATAGATGGGATTAGGTGCCATAAAGGAGTGAGCATCCCCTGCCGACCGGTCACACCCGCCGCGTGCTCCTTGTCAATATAGGAACAATCAGTATAAAAAATGTCAGTCAGCATTTGACTCAATGATAAATTGTATTTCCTGACAACGTCATTGTATCGACAATAGAACTTACGAAATGATGACTTTAAACGAGACTGCTGATATCATTGTTTCATCAACATGTTTGTCTATAATTTACCTTGTTTTAGAAATTGTTCATACGTAGAGCATGCTAAATTGCGTATGGAATCAACTGATATATAAACTCCGTATGCAGGTGATGAAGGTATATTACTGCATAAGTAAGGGAAGTTGACGACAGAGAAGTTAAAGTCATCACATTTATCATATAGCTTGGTTGTCAGATTACAATTAACGTCTTTTTCAAGTAAAATATCCAAGAATGAAACAGATGTGTCAGACTCTGTGGTATCTTTTATCTTAAGCTAACAAAGATATATCGTATCGACATAGGAATGGAAATTACCTTTGTTAATTGACAATACGTCGTCCATATATCTAAATGTCGAGTTGAAGGCCTCAGCAAGTGTTTTCATCTTTTCATTCATAAGATTTTGTACAAATTCTGCTTTATATGAATACATAAATAGGTCTGCTAAAACAGAGCGCAATCAGTACACATGGGAATTCCAATAGATTGTTGGAAGACCTGGTCTCCAAAAACCACATAGATATTTTCAATCAGAAACTCAAGCATCTTTTTGATGACAATTTCAGAGTACTTGTGTGTGCAATCAGAATGTGTTTTAACAAAATAATTTAGCAAATGACCAATGGCCAGGTAAGTAAATATACGAGTTCCATTTTTTTAAAAAGCAGCTGTCAATGATATTAAAAAGCCTGGACTTTAATTTATCGGAGGAAAAAGGAAAAGACGGATTGTTTTAGCTGCACTTTCTTCAGTAAAACGTGAGGACTTAAAAAGCATATGATTTGCAATATCCATAATCACAGATCCGAACCTATATTCTGGTGTTGAGGAATCAAAAACTGGAGTTTCATTGGCCTTCTCAAGAAGACTATTTAAAAGTTTTAAAGAGACAGAGTAAAGCTTGGTGCGAATATGATGTAGACCTAACTGTTGATTTACATAAGTTATATAGTAATGAATCAAAAGAGACATCGTGTAATTAGAGTAGTTCGCAGTCAAAACGGTTTAATAAACGACCTAGATGGATACAACGTAAAGTATTATTACTAAACTTTGCAACGCCAGAAATAGTTGAAATCACTTGATTTGATATACTGTGTATAAGAATGTGTGTAGAAAATATAAAATCACATTTAATTAATGGCAATTTGTGGACAGAAAAGTATTTTCTCATCATTGGAGCAAATAATGGGAACAAAATATTTCTTATTTCTCATTATTGTTTTCAATTCCATGTTAGGTGACATCAAGATAACCCTAAAACTGCGTAATTAAAAAAAAAATCAAACTACATGTGAAAGATACTTGTTTCAAGATAATCATTTTATAAAAAATTCAGTGTAAGGAAAACAAACGCAAAAACCGAAAATTTAAAAGATAAATTTTAAATGTACAAAATTACGTTTAAAAAAAAAGAAAGTAAATGTACAAATACTCTTACACATGAATGTGCAAAGAATCCCCAAAAGTGAGATCTAAAGACGTCGAACGTTATTCAACCAGCTTAGGAACACTTCGTTTTGATTATTTTGTAATTTTTTAAATGGAATGAAATGCATTTATATGGAGATAACGAAAAGTATTCGAGCTCAAAAGTACTTGTCCAGTAAACAAATGCAAATGAACAATGACAAGGTAATTATAAATTAACACATTCCATTTTCATTGAACATGTAGCTGACAATAATGTCAAAAAGACTTGACTTTAATGTATCGTGGGGAACAGTGGTATATAAAGTTGAAAAGTCGAAAGTTTTTATGTTGTTGATTTTGGTAAAATTTTGGGATTTCAAATATTCCTTTGAATTGTTTAGTATCCACATCTCTATTATATTGTTACATAATATTCTCGAAGTTTCTCCTTCACTACTGTCAATATCTTAGTGAGGAGTAAAGAAAGACTTGGTTGAACATTTACTGGAACCTATTATGTATCTTTGTTTTTAAGAATTTTTATGAAGTTCCGTGGTCCAATAAAAGCCTAGATATGCCAGTTCAAATTCATTTTTGTTGTTTGGAATATTCAAAATATTCAAAACTGACATATGATTTTGAAGAATGGAACTTCCTCTTTAGAAAGGGAGCAGTGAGTATAAGTTGTAAAAGCACTTGTAGTATTAAGGTAGGATTCTTTTCATCTTTCTTGTATTTAAAAATCAATGAAATTTTCACAGAATCAAGAAGACAAAATTAGTAAGTCATAGTATCAGTGAAAATAAATTTGACCGTTTTATATAAGAGGCAAGGTCAGGTCAAGGTCATTATCTTTTTCCTTGACATTAAGAATAAAAAAAAATACTGCTGCAAATCATGTGATGCCTACTTCTATTTCAAAAGTTTAAAGATTGTTCTTTTTGCTCAAAAAGATATTTCTATATCGGGTCTATAGCATGATATTACCAAATTTTTATGAATAATTTAACTAAACTGGATATTGGCTATTCCGAATTTTCTCTGTTTTTCTTATTTTTTTTTTAAGGATATATATTAGTTATTTTCATATGCTTCCTATATTTAACTTTTTCTTATTTTCACATATAATAAAGTAGTCTTATAAATATACAAAATGATACAAAAACAAAGAGTTTTGATCGTTTACTAAGAGAGAAAAAATACTTTTTATGGATTTTTGGTTCAAATCTGTACTTTGATTGGAAGCGTTTAAAACCTAAAATAATTCTAGTTTGTTTGAAAAATCATATTTATTTGATATATTTTGAAAGTATAGTCCCTTATTATCAATTTAACTTACATTTGAAAATTTTTGGAGTCTTTGATTGTATAAAAATCATAACTAAATTCATGCATTGTTCTATAATAATTTTGAGAGGCAAGAAAGAAGATATTTTCATACGCCACCATTCCGCCAAAAATATAGTCCCTGCTAGCTTTTAAACGCAGTTTACCATTTCTATTTAAAGTTGTGCAATTGATATGAGGAGAGAAAAATATGGTCTTTTACACCCTTAATCCCTTACACCTAAATATATAAGACATATAAGCAAATGTACTATGAATGTTTCATCTAGTCAGAAACCAGAGAAGAATCCTACCTTAATTCACAACACTGTCTTTGTATTTAAGGTCCATTATATAAAATATGTTTTAGAGGAATTTGGATATAAATTGGTAACTTCATTCATGTTTATCTTGTTTAGTGGGAGAATCTTATATGATTTACTCTTGCGTTTAAAACGTGAAAATTTGTATAGAATTAGATTAAATGCGACATAAATAAAGTCTAATATATCTAAGCACCGATTTGTATGTATATTTATATCTGAGGGATTTATTATTTATGTCGTTTCAAATCAAAATCAGTCAAAATATATATATCAATCGATGCATCAATTTTTTTTATCTGTTAAGTACCCTCTTTTCTGACATAAACAATTAAAGCACTTTTTCATATTAGTATGTTTTCCACATTTTGAATTTTAAGACTAATATAATAGAATGATAATGAGAAAGAACGTCCAAGTATGATAAACTATACCACGAAGAGAAGGCTCTGATCACTCTGTCTTGAGTTGTGACCCCGATGCCTTGAAATAATGACTGCTTTGCGTGAATCTTGTTTTTGTGAAGTATGTAAACTGACACATTTTACAATTTGCAACTTCAAACTTAGAATGATTTTACTTTAAAAGCCCTCATTACACGCTATTTTCTCTTCAGACTATATTTTTTGATGGGCACATTAAAAATGAACGAAAGGAAAAGAAATTATGTAACTAAGATTTTCAATTTATTTGGTACTATATATACTATGTAAAAAGGTAGTTATCAATCATTTAAGATTTTTAATGGAAATATCGACATAAACTTCAAACCCATCCAAGAAGACCAACGTTATTTCCCGCCAATTTGAATGACAAAGTAATCTACAAACTGCTACGTCATTATGTATCCCATCTTATTGATAAAATAACAAATGCTTAATTTACTTTCCAATAACAAAAAATAAACTGTTTGAAAAACTTATCAGTAAAAGTATTGGATAAGAATTATTTCCGTAATTGATTTTTGATGATGTTTTATTCATTTAACAACATGGTAATTCAAAATTTACATATGCTTGTATATACATGTCCATTATCCCCCAACCGAGAAGAAACTTGGGCATATTTTCGCCTCAATGTGATTTTTAAAGGGGCTGGGTGGTTGTGGCCATTTTTAGACTATTTTGATCTCATTTAAAAGAAGAGCTCCATATAAAGATATAACAAAATGATCTTTTAAAACTAAAATTTATGAAATTTTTCTTTGCCAAATGATAATTGACAGCTTAATATATCATATCCCAAAATTTAAGTTATATCTGGTGGTTAATGAAAATATGATTTGCTGACCCCCTAGCCTCCTTAAGTGCAAGATGCACTAATGTTCAACAAAATTAAATACAGCATAATGCAGAGTGTCAAAACTGATGCGTCATTGTTAAAATATCATCAGTAGATATACTTCTTAAATATTGAACTATGGGGGATCAAATCACAAACTTCCTCTTTTTTCAAAACGGCCTGAAAAATCAGAAACTGTGCTTTGGTTATCCTTTAAAAGCAGCATTTTAATATCCTTATTTATGAAGTATGCAAAGATATGAGATATCAGAAAGTGAATTTTTTTCAGATTTTAACATACAAAAACAATGTTATACTGTTGTCGATATCGTAATGCAGCAGGGTGCAATCGTAATAAACTACATGGAAAAAATTCTTAATTTTTTACACATTGAATGGAATCTGATTCATTGTTTTATTTCTAACTTACATGTTATCCTATTTATATAATTTACATTCCCTTTTACTTAAAAGTGTAAATACATACACGTATTGCCCGTAACCGTGAGTAGTAGCCAATAAGCAGAAAGCAGAGTCAGTTGGGATAACGCTAGGAATATCATATGAACATCTGTTTTATGCTTCGATATTTTACTAGAAGACATTAATAGTAATTTATCTGCTGCTAAAATGTCCCAGTTATTGTTATACCCCCCTTAACCTTTGGAGAGAACAATTATAGACATTAATGCTTACAGTGCTATCCTAATCATGTATAATGAACAAAATATATTTTAAAATAAACTATTAATGTATAATGATATGTTGCCTGCAAAAGCTACATTTAGGAAAAAGGAAAACTATTGACATTTTGAAAAAATGACCTTCCAACATGAAAAATACAAAGCAAACTACATACTTATTATCAAAAGTATGGCTTCGAGATTCCATTTAATAGTGCTTCATAGTAGATTTATCCTTTGTTCTTTCTCCTTTCAGGTTGTAAAGATGCTCATTATTGTTGTGTGCCTGTTTGTTTTATCCTGGCTGCCTTTGCATATCTACCAAGTTTCATCTCAAATAGAGCCAGATATAAACAAGTACGACATCAAAAACCTATAAAAAAATTTCTTATTTTTTTTAAATTTTACTTCAATACTTTAAATATTAAACCGATAATCTGAATTTCAGGTACGAAAATATTCATATAATATGGTTCTGCAGTAACTGGCTAGCCATGAGCAACTCATGTTATAATCCATTTGTCTACGGTCTACTCAATGTAAGTATTTAGTGAATAAATAATGATTCAACCATTCATCTCAGAAACAGCTCCCATATTAATAAAAAGACAGACTAAAAACAAAAATTATTGTCAAATTAATTACATACATGTAGCTCATATTTCATACATTGTATATTTAAAAAAATATGTATAGGAAAAAATTAATGACTGAACAAATCAGCTAATTTTTTTTAAAAAGAAAATGTTTTCTTTTATTTCAAGGGCATACATAGATCATTTGCTTCACATAGCATTATGATTATAAACACTGTAGAATATTTTCTTATTTTCACCGTCTTCTATATTCATAATGAAAGAACTCTTCATCATCATCAACGCCAAAAGATTTACAATCTTCACACCCAGACGTCTAAACTCTTTATATCGATCTTATAATAACGAGGTACATAATACTTACAGCTTGAGAAGTATCTCATTACAGAAGATTCCGTGGGAAAATCATGAGATCTTAAAACAGAAAAATTAGCTAATTACGAGGGTTGTTCGAAAAGTTCGTGGACAACTGTCATATCTTTTTTATTTGACGTCATATGTTATCCAAATTTGGTAGAAATATTTTAACAATAAATCCAAATGATATGTATTAATTTTGACGAAATATTACAACTGATTAAAAACTTATTTAGATTTTAAAAATACAAAAATCGGATCGCGGAGCAGGTCAAAATTTAGTCAAATACAGACAATACAATAAAGAATGTCTATAGCCATATTCTCTGCAAAATGGAGGAAAAACGAAAAACTACCTAGGAATTCTAACTAAGAATTGTTACTTCGATACGTGTACCAAATTATGGTTTTATATTTTGCTTTGTTGAAAAGAAATCAACTTGAGAAGATAGGTAGTCCTTATTGAAAACGACAAAAACGATGACGTTTTAGTACGTCACGGAGCAGCAGATACCGAAGCAATTTTGTGTTTTTCTCAGGAATAATCCTGAATGAAGTCTAAAAATGTTGAAGGAATCAAGAAAATATGTCACAAGCGAGTTGTTCATGTGTGCACAAATAGTACAGGCAATATTTGAGTGACAGAGACTCTGTATCGGATGAGGATGACCTGTGAAGAAACAGTTTCACTGTAAACGTCTGAACAAAACTTAAAAATTTGAAACGTAAATGAAAGACAAAGGCGCTTCAGAGTTGCTTATCCTGTGAAAGCAGAGTTAAGTACTAAAAGAAATTAAAACCTTAACAAACTAGTGCTAATTGTAACGGGGACCGTTACAGATGTTCCCCAAACGCTCCCCAACTCCCTTTTGGTGCCATATTCCCTGGAAGCTTCATTAAATAAGACAAACTCGATGCATTTGAGACTTAAAAACGTTTACCCAGAAGTGTACAAAGTTCATTCAAATTTTAGCATTGCACGCGTGCGCATGTGAATGCATGTGCGTAATGACCATATCATCTTGTCTACACAATCTATATATTTTAATATACTTAATATTAAAGTATTTAATCCAAAAGTATTAAAAAAGATACGCTCATTCAAGTGTTTTTTTTATTTTGCTCATTTCACGTGCACGCACATGCATACATGAGCATGGTGGCCATACCTTCTTGTAGATGTCCCTTACATCTATCTATGTTCTAAATCCCACCCCGTTTGGTTGAAAACCAAGGGAGTTATAGCTGTTTAAAGTTTCAGCCAATCAGATTGCAGCGCACATACATGCACGTGTATGCATGTGCATGGTGACCATACCCTCTTGTAGTAGTCCAGTATATCTATCTATGTTCCAAATCCCATCCTGTTTGGTTGAAAATCAAGGGAGTTATAGCTATTTAAAGTTTAAGCCAATCAGATTGCAGTGCACGCGCATGCACGTGTTTTCATGATAATTGCTATATAGCATTTTGTAGGATATCCTAATGCATGGCTATTTTCAAAATTTCAAAGAATTTCGTCAAAAAACAAGAAAGATATTGAGACTTTAGTTTCAGCCAATCAGAGCAAAGCGCACGTGCATGCGCGTGAGATCTTGCTATTTTGACCATGTCATATTGTCTATGCTACTAATATATCCTTATATTATAAGTTTCAAAACATTTCATCAAAAAATAGAAAAGTTACGGCAATATACATTAAATCGGTCATTACACATGTTGCACGTGCACGCTCTTGCAAGCACGTGCGCGCAAAATGACCTTCGTTCCGCAAATCTACATAACATGTCTACTGACCCTAAAAACATTTCACCTTAGTCGGATGTATAGTTTACGAGATCATTCCCGGACAAAAAAGTACCCAGGAAGAAGAAGAAAAATAATAATAATAATAATAATAAGAAACAGAGTAAAAACAATATGTTCCCCAACTTCGTTTGGGGAACATAATGAAATTATACAATGAGTTATATTCTTAAAAAATAAATGTCAAGTATTAGAAAAAGAATTTAATGAATGGGCATTGGAATATTCTGTGTGAAATGTATATATGTATAGTATCTATTATAAATTCTCGACGCTATGTGTTGACGTTACATTGCCGTTTTGTGTGCTCCGCGGGTACAAAACATGTAGAGTTCAAAATGAAGTAAATTTATTTGTGTTCAATCGAATGGAATGAAACTTCACACATCAACAAAACAAATATTTTTACATATTATAATGTGCTTGTTTTAAATTTCTAGTGAGTAATATAACGAAGATGGACATCGTCCACGAACTTTTCGAACAACCCTCGTATACTAGTAAATTGCTACTAAAACATTTTTGTCGATTTCAAATTAAATTTATATCTTGCCAAAAGAGAATAAATATCAATAATATTCAATCATCTTTATCTGTAACACTTCATATTGGTATACGAAGAGGATATTCAATGATTTGGAGATGGATATTGAAATTATTTCACGAGTGGGACTGGGATATCTTTTATATGATTATATTTTCACAACTGGTATGAAATGTAAAAAAAAACTGTTTTGTGAGTCGTGACATCAAAACGCACACTTTTTCTACATTTTATCGACCGTGGTCATATGATACAAAATTATTTTGAAATCAAAGAAACTTTGAAAAAAAAAAAAAAAAAAAAAACCGGAAATTTTCATAACCTTTAATTGTTTGTCAGCCAAATTAAGGAGCTGAGGTCAACAATGGCTTTCAATTGATTATAAAATTATATTTATAATTTACAATACATCCTATCACTGATTTGTAATTTGACTGACATACAAATTGTACCGGGCCTTTGTTTTTATACTAAATGTGTGTCGAGTATGGAATGAGTGGTTAGACATAAACACCATATACAGGTGATATCTGTATCAGCTGTTCTCGAAAGATTATCAACCACATTTAATAGAATCGATGTTTGTGGAGCGCATGCATGGATCAGTATAAAAACAATCTTCATTAAGACATTGATTTATCTCATAAGTTCAGATGATTTACCGATGAAACAATCTTTTTAAGGTTTGCTACAGACGAAATTGGCACCTGTGTCTTAATGAAATATATGGACTGAAATATATGGAGATAACGAACAGTATTCAAGATCAAAAGCCCATTCAACAATACAAAATAGGTTCAGAGCAAACACGGACCTCAAAAACATCAGAGGTGGGATTAGGTACCATGGAGAAGTGAGCATCCCCTGCCAACCGGTCACACCCGCCGTGTGCTCTCTGTCTTGATTGGAATTGACTGGAAATACCGTCGTCAATTCAGTGTATAAATAATGGACTAACAATAAGTATGAAAAATGCCAGTCAGCATTTGACTCAATGATAAATTGTATTTGCTGACAAATCATTGTATCGACCATTGAACTTAGAAATGATGACTTTAAACGAGACTGCTGATATCCTTGTTTTCATCAACTTGTTCGTAACTTACCTCGTTTTAGAAATTGTTCATACGTAGAGCATGCTCTTGCGTATCGAATCAACTGAGATATGTAAACTCAGTGTGCAGGTGATGAAGGTATATTGCTGCATAAGTAAGGGAAGTTAACGTTTGCAAAGTTAAAGTCATCACATTTATCATAGAGCTTGGTTGTTAGATTACCATTAACGTCTTTTTCAAGTAAAATATCCAAATATGAAACAGATGTGTCTAACTCTGTGGTATCTTTTATTTCAAGCTCATCGGGATATATCGTATCGACATAAGAATTGGAATTACTATTGGTAATTGACAATACGTCGTCGATATATCTAAATGTCTAGTTGAAAGCCACAGCAAGTGTTTTCATTTCACGTATAGGATTTTGAACAAATTCTGCTTCAAATAGAATGCAATTTCTATGAACCAGTATCAAGAGAGAAAAGCATATAATCTCCGAAAAGTATTCTCATTAGGACGGTGGTGGAACATTCCTTGAAAAAAAAATCCATGAAAATGAATGCAGTCAATTCAGTATATTCTTAGAATAGTAAGAAATACTTCAGTCAAGTGCTGACTGACGTTTTTCATACTAATTGTTAGTCCATGATTTATACTATGAATTGACGATTTTTCCGTTATTACCCGATCATGACAAGGAGCACATGGTGGGTGTGACCGGTCGGCAGGGGATGCTTACTCCTCCACGGCGCCTGACCCCACTCCTCATGTTTTGAGGTCCATGTTTGCTCCGCTCCTATTTTGTATTGTTTAAAGGACTTTTGATCTTGAATATTTTTCGTTATCTTCATATATTTCATCTATATTTGTCACTATCAACAAGTATTAAAGAGAGCACAAAAACAAAGATATTTAATTAAGCAAGTCTTACTATTTTGATGCATTGAATATTAATTAATATTTGAGAAAATTGGAAAATCTATAGTTTATTGAGCAGCAATATACTTTTGTCATCTGCATTCGGAGTTTATGTCTCTAAGTTGATTCGATAGGGAAGAGGATGTTCTACGTATGAACAATTTCTAAAACGTCAGGTAAGTTATTGACAAGCAAGTTGATGAAGCAAGAATATCAACAGTCTCGTTTAAAGTCATCAATTTGTAATATGGTCGATACAATGA